AAGTGGGATCTAACACGCCATGAATACGGAAATGGTGGAGCACATACAGGCGGGCTGTGCCCTTGTGTATGCATGGCTTAGATAGGACTTGTCCCGAGTGCCTGAGCGAGTCCAGAGACATCAGCGCGACAGCTTCCTTGCGGCTTTCACTGCCACGCATCATAACATGCTTCGCTCGCCAGTGGACTTGGCAGACAAACCAATAAGATGCCTACGGCACGACCGCCACTGAGCCCGGTTTCTCGCCATATCCTGCAGCGTTAACAGCCATTGGTCTGCGACGCCGCGCGGACCCCATCCAGGGAGTCTAACCCTGCCAACTGAAGCTAATCTACTTGTAAGCCTTTTCGTCTGACGGCTCCAGGTCAGTGCCTGGCCTCCACGTACTCCACGCCAGCTAGGATTGGGGGTAGCAAAGAGTGTCCTCGGTGACATACGCAATACATGTCCGAGCCATCTTAGTTTGCTCAAGTTCACTAGCGTTCCTAAATCGGACTCTGGTCCTAGAATACGATCACGGGCCACAATTTAAGGAGGAGCGATCCGAAAAGGTTCAGAAAAACTGACATAGACTTCAGCGGTCTTTATTAGAATCCGTTCAACCCTATATCAAAAAACTGATACAGACTACAACGGTCTTTATTAGAATCCTTTCAACCCTATACTAAAAACTGGTATAGACTACAACGGTATTTATTAGTATCCTTTCAATCTTATACTAAAAAACTGATAAAGACTACAACGGTCTTGATTAGAATCTACTGGTATAGACTACAACGGTCTTTATTAGAATCCTGTGAATCTATAACAAAAACTGATATAAACAGCTACAGTCTTTATTAGAATCCTTTCAACCCTGTACTAAAAAACTGGTATAGACTGCAACGGTCTTTATTAGAATCCTTTCAACCCTGTACTAAAAATCTGGTATAGACTGCAACGGTCTTTATTATAATCCTTTCAACCCTATAATAAAATCTGGTATATACTACAATGGTTTTTATTAGAATCCTTCAACCCATACTAAAAACTAATATAGGCTACAACGGTTTTTATTAGAATCCTTTCAACCCTATACTAAAAAACGGATACAAACTACAACGGTCTTTCTTATAATCCTTTGAACCTTATACTAAAAAACTGATACAGCATACAACGGTCTTTATTACCATCCTTTCAACCCTATACTTAAAGAAACTAGTATAGACTGGAACGGTCTTTATTATAGTTTTTTCATCCCTATACTAAAAAACTGATATGGATAACAACGGTCTTGATTAGAATCGTTTCAACCCTATACTAAAAACTGATATTGACTACAACGGTATTTATTAGAATCCTTTAACCCTATACTAAAAACCTGATACAGAGCACAATGGTCTTAATTAGACTCCTTTCAACTTTATACTAAAACCTGATATAGACTACAACAGTCTTTATTAAAATCCCTTCAACCCTATACTAAAAA